GGCCTGGAGGAAAGGGGACCCTGCCGGTCTCCTTGCCAAAGAGCGTGTGCTGGCCATCGCTGCACTCTGGGCCCGGCTGTCAGGGCAGGCTCCAGAGCCCAGGCTGGGCCCTTTGACATTTGGCTGGTTGTGCCACCCAGTCGACCAGACTGTGCCTGGAACAGGACAGGAGCCCACCCCAGCCTGCATCTTCGAGCCGTCAATGGAGCCCTTTGAGTGTGAGCACAAAACCCCAGTGAGTCAGGGCTTGGGGGAGGGGAGGGGTAAAGAAGCCAACCTTGTGGCCACACCACTTGGATGCCAGAGCCTTCCCGAGGCCGGCCGGACAGGCAGCCACTGTGCCGAGGTACACGCATTGCACATTGGTTTTCGGAGTGGCGCCGACAGCGCCCCCTGGTGGCCGTCTTGGCCTCCTTGCCGTCTCTGGCTGTTCAGCGTGCATCCTCCGCTCAGCTGAAGAAGGCAGCCTGACCGGCTTCCCAGGGGCTGGTAACAGTCAGCTCTTGTTCCTGAAGCCTGCTCCTCAGGGTCGCAGCTGTTAAAGGGCTTCTCGCACCAGCTGCTCTTGTCCCTGGGACGTGGCACCTGGACAGCTCTACCTACACACACACACACACACACACACACACACACTTGCAGCTGGACTGGCCATTGGTAAGGGACTTGATGAAGCTGTGAGGCTCCTATGAGATGAGTCTGCGATGCTCAACACAGTGCTGGACACGTAGCAATGCTCAGCCCGAGCTTAGGGACTGCCTGGGCCCTCACCCGTCTCGGCCATGTTGCCCGCTCCAGGTGCCGCCACGCTGCCATTGCCAAGTACTTTGGGGATGCACCCCCCGCTTGCACCAGAGGCTGCGACCACTGCCAGAATCCCGCGGCCGTGCGGAAGCAGCTGGACACCTTGGAGCGCAGCAGCAGCTGGAGCAAGACCTGCATCGGGCCCTCCCAGGACAATGGCTTCGACCCTGAGCTGTATGAGGGCGGCCGCAGGGGCTACGGGGGCTTCAGCAGGTGAGGGGCCATGAAGCCGGGGCCCCCACCCACGGGAAATGGTCTGGCATTCTCTCCCTCGTGCCATGGCCAGACCATCCTGCACCAGGGGCCATGCTGGGGCTGCCAGGGCCTCGGGCGTCGCTGCCCCTCCCAAGGGGGGAGGGAGGGCAAAGGCCAGGCCAGGGCTGCTCATGCCCAGCCTGTCCCCTAGATATGACGAAGGTTCTGGAGGCAGCGGGGACGAGGGCAGAGATGAGGCCCACAAGCGGGAATGGAACCTCTTCTACCAGAAGCAGATGAGTCTGCGCAAGGTGAAGGGGGTGGAGTCTCTGTGGGGTCCCCTCAGCACCCCCTTCGCCGGTGCTGACCTGGGTGCTATCCTGCAGCGGGCGGGATGCCTCACAGCCTTTCCTGTCATCTTCCAGGGCAAAGACCCCAAGACAGAAGAATTTGTACCCCCAGGTCAGTATGGGGGGCTATGGGCTGTTTCCAGGGTGTGGATGGAGGATGCCTCCTTGGGGGGTTGGGGACTCCAGAGAGTAGAAGGCAGAGTGGAGAGCCTCCCCCCTCCCCCCAGATGAGGACTGTCCCCTGAAAGAGGCTTCTAGCAGGAAGATCCCCAGGCTCACTGTGAAGGTAAGAGGTAGCGGCTCCTCACACCTGCCCCCCAGCCTCAGGCTTGTGTGACCGACTTCTCCCCGCTCCCTCTGCAGGCCCGTGAGCACTGCCTGGGGCTGCTGGAGGAGGCGCTGAGCAGCAACTGCCAGGCTGCAGGTGCCACTCATGGGTGAGTGTCCCAGGTCACCGGGGCAGGGAGGGTTCTCCACGTCCTGTTCCTTTGGAAACGGCTGGAACTCTGGGTCCCCAGCCTGTTTGGGAGCTCCCTCCCCTGACTGTGGCCCATCCTACTCCCAGGGGTCGCAGCTCCCTACAGCCCCACCACCGGGAAGGCTCGGTTACCCCGAGGGGCTGCAGGTTGTCCAGGGTGTCCAGGTTGGCATCCCTGCCTCAAGGCCATTCCCACCAGGCCCAGAGCCATGTCCAGGGTCCCCCAGGAGAACCCACCTGGAGCTCAGCAGGCAGAGGGCTCAGGCCTCCTGACACCTCCACTCCCTCCCTCAGACCTGACCTGCAGGCCAAGGCTGTGGAGCTAGAACATGAGATGTTCCGAAATGCCAAGGCTGCCAACCTGTACAAGGCCAGCGTGCTGAAGAAGGTGGGCGGGGGCGGGGATGGGCGGAGCTTGCTCAGGGTCAGGGTGGGAGAGGCAGCCCCTCCACACTCCCAGGCTGGCTGCCACCTCTGGCCCAGGCAGCCCCGAATCCACTCCTTACCAAGCAGCCACTCATTTGGGGGGGCCCCACTACCCCCCTTTGCCAGCTGGAGCCACGTCCAGCCAAGCCCCTGAAGACTGGACCTTATCTGGTGTCCAGTTGCCTACGGTCGCGGGCCACAGAAGCCCGCCGTGGGAGCCTGGGTGGGGGCTGCCGGGAGCCTGTGGGTACCTAGCATGCCTGCCCAGCCATCATCCTGCTCCAGGTGGCCGAGATCCATAGGACCTCCAAGGACGGGCAGCTCTACCACCCGGCAGGCGGTGCCAAGAGCTGCAGTGCCCAGGCCGAGCCCACCGAGCACGACATCCTGCCGGCCTCCCAGGTGTACTCGGTGAGCGGGCCTGGGAACGGCCCACTTCCCTCTCCTCAGCTACAGCACAGCCCTGCCTCCCCTGCCATCGCAGTCCTGGCGCTGGGGGGCCCCAGGCAGGTCCTCGAGCTTGTCTGCTCTGCCGCCTGTGGCTCCAGCCCCACAGCCTGACCCCGGGGTTTGGTGCTGGTGTTTCCCTCCCCATCCCTTCAGATCTCCACGAACATGGCCATACCTGGACCAGCCTTGGAGTGCCCTCGAGGGGCCTGCTGGTCAGCACCCTCTCTCCTCCTCACAGCTCAAACCCAAGCGGGTGGGAGCCGGTTTCCCCAAAGGCTCCATCCCATTCCAGACGGCCTCACAGCTGATGGAGGAGATGAGGGCTGGGGGGCAGGCCCCGCGGCCTGAGCAGGAGCCCCCCAGCCAGCCCTGTGGCCTCCAGGATGAGGAAAGCAGTGAGCCTGTCCCCGGGCTCAGAGAGGCCCCCGGAAGCAGTGCTCATTGTGGGGGGCCCTCCCCTGAGAAGGCAAAGGGCCCCTCGGGGGGCAGTCCCGCAGCCAAGGCCCGGGCCAACAAGAAGCAGCAGCTCCTGGCCGCTGCAGCTCTCAAGGACTCTCAGAACATCGCCCGCTTCTTCTGCCAAAGGGCCGAGAGCCCGCCTGCCCTGGCTTCAGCCCCAGGGGCGGAAGGTGCCAGCCCTTCCTGTGCTGGGGTGCGGGGACCCCTGGCTGTGGCCCCAGAGACACACACCGGGGAGGAGGATGGAGCCCGGGGGCGTTCAGCTGCCCGCCCCCAGACGGAGTGCACCAGGGAGGGGCCAAGGTAAGGGCAGGGCAGTCCCGCAACCCTCTGGAATCCCTTTCGCTCTCGGGCCTCTGTGACCCACTTCCTGCCGTGGGCTCTGCGGGGCTGCCCGGCCGAGGGCACAGCTGGTACCTGGAGCTCTGACGCCTGCTCTCTCCTCGCCAGTGCCTGCCCACTGCGAGACCCGGGGCCCCCTGAAGGCCAGCTCACCCCCCCAGAGGGGACACCAAGGGGCAAGCGGCCCAGGCCCCAGCAGGTACTGCCAGGCCCCGGTGGGAGGGAGCCAGCACGTGCTGTGGCCAGTCTTCCAGAAGAAGGGGAGGGGCCAGTGACAGGGAGCCCAAGGGTGACCCTCCACGGTGGCTCTGCTCAGGAGAACCCGGAGAGCCAGGCGCGGAAGAGGCCTCACCCCTTAGCCGGTGCCTCCGTTTTAGCCGAGGCCAATGACAACATCTTGGCCAGTGGTCAGAGCACCATAAGCCACACGGCCCAGGGCTCCTGCCAGCTCCCAGCCCCGGGCACTTCCCTGAAGGTGGCTGCGAACATTGTGGTCAAGTGCCTGACCCCTTTCTACAAAGAGGGCAAGTTTGCCTCCAAGGTAGGCTAGTCTGCCCTCCCCGGGGCCTTGGGCATGGTGCGGGGAGGGCAGGGCGTGGGAGCCACCGGGAAGCAGGCAAGCCCGGCCCGCTGCCCTCTCCCTCGGCCTGCCTTGCCCTGTGGTCGTGGCTGTGGTTGCTGGGGCCAGAGCCGGGGTCTGAGCCCTCCGCTCCTCACTCTCCACCCGCAGGACCTGTTCAAAGCCTTCGCCCGCCACCTCTCCCACACACTGGCTCAGGAGCCCTCTCCCGGGAGGAGCGGTGAGTGCCTGGGTCACCCCGCCAGGCGGCACTGGGGGCCCTGCGGGGAGGCGACCGGCCCTCACACTCCCCCACCCCGACTCTCTAGTGAAGGAAGAGGCCCAGCACCTCATCAGGCAGTTCTTCCGGGGCCGGGCCCGGTGCGAGAGTGAAGCTGACTGGCACGGCCTGTGTGACCCGCAGAGATGACCGACTGCTGCCCAGCGGGGCCAGTGTCCCGCCCCCCGACTCTACCGTGGGCCAGCGGGGCCTCACTCAGGAATGGGAAGGCGGACAGGCCTGTGGCCGCAGGGCTTCTCTTCTCAGGGTCCTTCCCCCTTCCAGCCACACCTTGCTGTGGAGATGGCCCCGGACACCTCCCAAATCAAGGTCAGAGGCCAGAGGTCAGCCCAGCTTCCTATGTACTTGCCAGGCCTGAGGCCCTCTCTCTCCTGGCCTCATGGAGCCCCACCTTAGAAGGACCTGGGTGGGGTGGCTGCTGCCAGGGGAACAGGAAGAAGAAACGGTCCCTCCACCTCTTGTACCTGAGTTGTAAGCTGGGGGAGGCCACCTGTGCAAGGCGCGGGCCTCCAGGGGCAGAGCTGTGGGAAGAGGCAGCGGCCGGCTCTGCTTCTCGGCTCCTGCTCGGGAAGGCGAGGCTGGGCCGGGCCGAGGCGCCTCCCGGAGGAATAAAGTCTGTCTGACACATGCACGCGCACAGGTTTTCTCTCGGAGCTTTATTTCCTCGGCAGCTGCTGCCCCCAGGTCTGGGCTCGTGCTGATCCTGAGCCGGGGCCAGGCGGGCACTGCCCCCAGACGGGCAACATCAGCTCCCACGCTGAGTTCCCACAGCCCCCACGTCCCCCGAAGGAGTCCATCCCAGTTGATGTCACTGTAGCAGCCCCTGCTTTGGGACCTTCATGTGGGCCAGCCGGGCTGTGCTGGGCAGGTTCCAGAACAGCCAAGCCACAAAGTCCAAACCAAAGTGACCTGACAGCAACCAAGGGAGACCATCGGGTGGAACTGGGCCCAGGGAGGGCCCAGGGAGGGCCCTTCGTCCTCTCCTGCCCTCCACCTCTCCTCTCGGGTGAGGCGGCCACTAAACGGAAGTGTCGCTGCTGTGGAGCAGGAAGGTGATGGTGTGCTGCAGCTCCCGGGCCTGCGGGCACAGGCCTGTGAGGACAGGCTCCGGCCAGCCCGCCTCTGCCCCGCCCACACGACGCCTGGGCAGTGGGCATCGGCTGGGCCCAGGCTCCGGGCATGCCAGCCTCCCAGGTGGTCAGAGGCCCTCACCACTCACCTGCGGCAGCTCGAACCAGACGGTCTGGGGGCTGTCAGCGGAGCCGTAGTTGAGTTCCAGGGCAGGGGGCCTGTCTGCCTCCAGGGGGCTCAGCAGGTGGAGCTGCTGCAGGTCCCTCAGGGCGATGGAGCAGCACAGCGCCTGGGGGCAGCAGGGTCAGGGCTTGACACTCTCACGGGGGTGTACGTGTGGGCGGTGGGAGGGGAATGGCCCAGGGTGCCCAGCCCACCTGGGAGCTGGGGTCCATGATGATGAGGTGCTGGCGGTTCAGCCCCAGGAGGCTGGGTCTGGGCAGCGTCAGGTCACTCGCTCGCAGCACCACGTAGACAGTGTAACCGAAAAGGGGCAGCTGGCTGGCTGCCTCTGGGGGTGGAGGGGTGACATGGAAGATGGGAGTTCTGGGGCCTGGGGACCTGCCCTGCTGGCCCCCAGGTGAGGTGAGAGGGACAGGGAAGGTGGAGCAGCTTTCTCAGCCCTCCACCCTCACCCCTTCCCTCCAGGGCCTCTACCTCCTCCCTCCTCCCCAGCTGCCCCCAGGCCCCAGACCCACCGATGAAGTCGATCTGAGCTTCCTGGGCGCTGCGTCCTTGCAGCTGCCGCAGCTCCTGGTCCATCAGGCTCTGGATGGCGGCCATGTTCAACTGGCCTTGCGGCAGCCTCGGCAAGTAAGCCAGCAGGTCTTGCCTAGGACACAGCGGTGGTCAAGGCTGGGCATCCAGCGGGCGCGCAGTGAGTGAGCCCGTGGCTGCGTGGGTGAGACTGCAGATCCAGACACACCAGTGCGGTGTCCCTGCCCCTGAGCTTGGGTGGGGCGGACGGGCCTCCACTGCTCCAGCCCCATCTGGTTAGGGCCAAGGAGAGTCAAGTCAGGTGGCCCTGACCTTGGATTGTGGGCTGAGAGGCCCTTGGGGTGGATGCTGAGGCTGACCTCAGCACCAGGAGGGACGAGAAGTGACAGGAGGCGTGGGGGGCGTGCACACTCACTCTGAGCGGGGGGCCTCTTGGGTCCTGCTGACAAGCTGGAGGGCAGCCAGCCTGGCAACTAGGGCATCTGCCTGGGCGCCGACCAACAGCTTCCCCTGCAGGTAGTCTCGCTGCACCTGAGGGCAGAGCACAGTGAGGGGCAGCTGTGCCCTACAGCCCCCGACAGTCCTGCCCCCGGTCCCTGCTCCTGGCGGGAGGGGAGGGAGGCCCGGAGGCCCCGCCCAGGCAGTGGGCAGCAGGCTGACCTGGCTGTAGTGGGTGCTGATGTAGGTGGGGTTATCGAAGTGCAGGCGGGTCTCCCAGCCGAGCCGCCGGCTGTGCAGGCTGGTCTCCCGGTCCACCAGCACGTTGTTGAGGTACTCCTGGGGCCGCAGGGGCCGCACCAGCTCACCTGCACGGGGAGCTCGGTTCAGCGCCCTCCCTGCTGCCCAGGCCCCGCCCCGCCCCTGCCAGCCCCAGTGTAGGAACTGCCTCGCCTGGGTGCAAAAGTGGACCCAGCAGGGGAGCCGCTCTGAGTGCAGCCTGGCGTCCTTCCCCCATGACTCGCCTTCGCCTTGGATGAGGAACAGGGCAAATTCCTGGACCTCCTCGGGCTCCGTGATGCCCATCTTCCCACACAGCTCCTCCAGCACCTCTGCTGCCACCTGGGCGTGCAGACAGGCCATGATGGGGCCGGGCCAGGACTGAGGCCCACAGCCCCGCCCCTCCCCAGCCCGTCTCGGTGGCCCCAGCTCACGGTGAAAGGCCCGATGTTGGTCTTGTAGCCCACGCCTCCGGGCAGGTGAACCAGGAGCAGGCGGAGCATTTTCCCTTTCTGCCAGGGCACGTGGCAGGTCAGTCCACCCCAGTCAAAGGCCCTGGCTCCCCCCAACCCCCCGAGGGAGACCCAGAATGCCCGCCGCCTGCACCCCCAGTACCAGGAACGCCTTCATTTCACCCGGGGGCAGCAGCCGCCGGCGCCCCCCGTATTTGACCGTCTGCTGGAGGTGCTTCTGGCTGCTGCGGGCCAGCTCTGCAGAGAGGACCAGGCTGTGGTCAGCGGCATCTTCAAACCCCTCCCCACGCCGCCGAGACCTGCCTGGGAGCCCCTCCCACAGGCACCTTGACTCCTGCCCGCGTCCTGCAGAAACTGGGTCACGTAGGGCATCAGCGTGACGGACGGCGGCAGGAAGCCGGTGAGGAGGCTGAGGAAGCTCCAGCCTCGAGCACAGAATTCCCTGCGGGGCAGAGAGCTGGGCTCGGGCTGCAGGACATGCAGCGGACTGCCCGCCGCCCACCGCAGCACCCCAACACTCACAGCCGGGGGTGTCCCGTGACCTGCTTGATGGCCTGGCAGTAAATCTCATCCCTGAGGTTCTCCTTCTCCCGGCACAGCTACGGGCACAGAAAGGGCGGGTGGGCAGGGGAGAGGCAGCCGGGGGGCGGGCAGAATGCAGTGGAGTGAGGGGTGGCGTGGGAGCTGATGGCTAGAGGCTGGGGGCCAAGTGGGGTGACAGCCCAGTCGGTGGTCATCTCTCTGTCATCTCACTCGGTTTAATGGTGTCTGCACAACCGGTCACTCTAAGACACTGTCTCCAGCTGCTTCCGGCCGTGCTTGGCCTGTCCTCCGCCTTCCCTGGTCCCTCTTAGTTACCTCCTTGACCTCTAAGGGCTGCGGTGCCCTTGGGCCTCTGTACTCCTCCCGGATGCTCTTAGCTGCTTCCATCTGCTGATGACCTGGTGCCTGCCTCCAGCTCACACTTCTCCCTTGAACCCCAGCCCTCCCCTTGGAAGTCTGGGACTTCAGACCTCACATGTCCGAAATTCTCCAGCAGCCCAGGCCCGCTCCTCCCCCAGGCTTAGCAAACAGCAGGGGCCTGTGGGATCCCTGGCCCCTCTCTCTCACCCCCCCCCCCCCACATGCAATTCCTGGAAGCCTGTGCTCGGCTCTCTGCTGCCACCTCTTGGCCCCCGCCGGCACTGCCTCTCACCTGGCATCACTGCAATCACCTTTGCCCTTAAGCCCCCAGAATAGCCACAGCTAGAGCCACCCCAGCAAACACAAGCCACATCCCTCCTCAAACCCCTCCCGTGGGTTTCTCTCTCTTGAAAAAAAAAAAATCAAAGTTCTGACAATGGCCTGCACGGCCTGCCGTGACCTGGACCCACTGTCCGTCCTGGGGCCGCCTCCTCCCCTCTCCCCTTGCCCACTGGCTCCAGCCACACTGGCCTTGCTGGTGCTGAGGCTCACCCCCTCGTGAGCATTCACCCCGCCCCTCCCTCTGTCCACATGCACTGCCCCGGTGCACACAGGCCTCCCTCCCTCTGCTCCAGTGCCAGCCTCTGCCCTGGCTCAGCACCTCCCCTGCCTTCCGCACGGCCGCACCTGTCTCCTCCTCCTAGGTCGTAAGTCTGCGTGGCTCACTGCCACACCCCCGGCATATAGTAGGTGCTCAATAAACACTTGTGGCTGATTCGAATGAATAGTGACCAAGGGAAGGGGGTCCCGTTCAGGCCCAGGCAGGACAGGACTGCGTCCTCAGGCTCCCGGTGTCTCCCCCAGGTCCCGGCGCGCAGCCCTCGCTTACCTTCAGCAGCTCATAGAGGAGCTCTATCTCGTCCTTGCTCCGGGGCTTCGGCTGGTCCCCCATAAACTGCATCAGAACTACAGGCAGCACGAGAAACGTGGGGAGCTGGGGGGGGCCTGGCCCTGGCCCACGCGTCCCCACACAGGGCTTTCCCCCGCCATCTGATGTCTTGCTCTCAAAACGTGTGTGAGCCAGGTCGGGCGGCAGACCCAGGCTGACCGATGGGGAAACAAGGCTCAGGAATTCTGTGGGTGCCCGCAGCCCCACATGGTGCACCGCCACTGCCTTCCGGCCCAGAATCTACACAACCCACGTCTTGGGCAGGAGTAGAAGTAGGCGAAGGCCGCCGGGGAATAGGAACCACCCCTGGGCTGCCCTGAAGTGGCAAACTCCCGGAGAAGGCGGCCGGGTGCCTAGGTCCAAGGCACCACAGGCATGGGGCCCAGGCTGGCCACTCACCCTGGAAGCTCTCCACAGCCTGCCTGCTCGTGTCCTCATCACTGAGGCTGATGAGCGACTCCTGGATGGGGGCCTGCAGGCAAAGAGGCGGGGCTGTGGGTCTGGGGCCTGTGGGACCCAGGGGGCAGGTCCACTGGCCCGACTCCCCCTCCTGCCCCCCTACCTTGGTGTACTGCACCAGGCTGGCCATGGCCTTCTGAGCATCTCCACCTGCCTGGGCCAGCCTGAGGGGCAGAGAGAGCACAGCCCTGCTTGCTCGGCCCTTCCGCCCCTTCCCAGGCTGTGGCCTGGTGGCCCCGAGCAGGGAGCCCCCTTCACAGAAGCTGAGGACGGGTAGGGTGGGCCAGGGCGGGTCAGGGCACTCACAAGGTCTGGGGCTTCCGGAAGTATTTCAGGGCAAAGTCCTGCATGGTGTAGTTGTGGGAGACAATGGACAGAGAGGCAGGGACCTCGGAGAAGGGCAGGCCGCTGGCCTCTGAGTTGTCACCGTGTGCCTGGCTCGAGGGTCTGGCGGGGCCCTGGGAGCACAGGAGACCTGGTGCCACCCTGAGACCTGGCCGGTGCGCAGACCCTGCCCCAGCCCCGCCTGGCCCCCCTAGGGGAGCAGGGGAGCAGCTGCAGTGAGCACACCACCAGTCAGGAGAGTCAAGAGCTTTTTATTGAGCGTCTTCTAGTGCAGCACCAGACTAAGCACCGCCAGGGACACGCGAGGGGCAGACAGCACAGCCCCGCCCGGGGGGAGCTCACAGTCCGGCTGCGGAGGTGAGGCAGGCGCTGGGAGAGGGTGGAGAGGGTGGCGGGCGAGCCTCACTGCTCTGGGGCAATCGAGCCCTTTCCTTCCTCAACTCCTACTTCCTCACCTCCAACCCCCTCTCCCGCGGAGCCAGGCCTGGCTCTCCGCGCAGCAGCGAGAAGGAAAAGTCCGGGGCAGCCGCCGGCTGCACCACGTCCACAGGAAAGAGTCCGGAGCGGCCGCCGGCAGAGCCAAACTGCCAGCCTGGAGGGCACACAGGGACAGCGTCTTACCCACCTGCCCCTCTGTCCTCAGAGTCGTCTCCCCAACCCTCCCTCCCGCCCGTGCCACCCTCCCTCGCCAGCGCCCTGCTGGCCCCTGGAGAGACCTGGCTCCAGATCGATGGCCGGCAGCAGCTTGATGAGGTCCCCGCGGTGGAAGCTGAGGAGGCTGCGGTCATCGGTGATGTAGCTTCGCAAGGCGACGACATAGCCAGAGTCCTGCAGGCAGGAGGGTGGGAGGGTGAGCGGGCGAGCGAGTGGCCAGCCTGCCGGTGGCCCCTGTCCTGCCGCCCTACCTGCTCATCCTCCACTGGCCCATTCCCACCTCAGCACCCCAGAGTTCCAGGGGCCCAGCCCCAACCCAGGAAGCTAGGAGGAGCTTGGCTGACAGCCCCGAGACCAGCCAACCCAGACAGGGCACCCCGGAGCGTAAGCGGAGGCCCCGCCCGCCCCTCTCGGCCCCTCTCGGCCCGCACTTGCCTTCTGGAGCTCACTCAGGAAGAGCTCCACCATGGCCTTGATGGCACCTGCCCGGACCGAGTGCAGCACCAACTGCTCGCTCTTCAGTGTCAGCTCCAGGGTGGAGCCCCCCCGGCACTCCACGCCCAGCACCTCAGCAAAGCTGTGCACAGGGTGGGGGCATGAGCTGGGGGCCACCTCGCCACCTCCAGCCCCCTACCGGCCCGGCCCCACCTGTAGGAGCAGAGAGTCTTCAGCTGGTGGAGGCCGACGCCGGGGCCACGGGCCAGCTTGAGCAGTCTCAGCCCCCGGTGCGACACGCCCAGCAGCTGCACGTTGCTGCCACTCTCGCCCTGCCCAGAGGGGGTCACAGAAAGGCTGCTGGGTCCCCTCCACCACCCAGGATGCCTTTATGTTTCCTCTGGAGCCCACCCCACCCCACTCCACCCCCTACTCCCATCCCTGCTGCAGAAGGCCCTGGCCGTGTGCCGGGGTCCAGACTGGGTGCTGTCACCCCCAGCCCTACCCCCACCTCACTCACCGAGACGGGGAAGATGCGGGAGAAGTAATTGGCCCAGTTGTCCCGAGCGGCCACCACAATGCGCTTCTTGACACTGTCCTCAGTGGTGCCGAGTGAGTCCAGGCCCACCTCCAGGTCTCCTGCGGGCAGGGACGGCCCCAGCCTGTCCTGAGGCTCCCCACAGAGCAAACCCCAGAGTCTGCTCTCTCCCTCCGCGCAGGCCCGGCCCCCAGCATCCCAGCTCCCTGACTCCAGGGTCCCTGGACCATACCCAGCAGGTCTTTCATTCTGCACCGCTCGTCCTGGGAGATCCGGGTGCAGGACTCGGAAAAGGTGTCCTTCAGGATCTGGGGGCAGAGCCAGGTGGTCACCACCAGGGCCCGAGGCCAGAGCCCCCCACGAAAGCATCACACACCGAGGAGAAGCTGGAGGGCCCGAGGGCGGAGACGGAGCAGGAGAAACATGGGGCTTCCAAGTCCAGGGCCCCACCACCCCGAGCTCTGCCTGCCTTCCCGAGTGCCAGCTGCTCCTCGGTCAGTGGAAGTAAGCCTCCCTGAAGCAGCAGAACTTGTGGGAGGCTATGGAGGTGGGGGACAGGCACGGTCCTGGGAGCATCCAGAGGCGGCCAAGGAACAAGCACCAGGAGCACCTACTGTGTGCTGGAGCCTGTTGGGCACTGTGTACACTACCCTTAATCCTCGTGGCCAATAACGGTTCCTACTCACAGGGGTGTGAGGGCTTCAGAGAGGGGGCGGGGCTGGACCCGCACAAGTGCCCCACAGGTGCTGGCTGTTATCCTGCCCTCCCACGGGCGCGAACACCCAGGGGTGGGTGCACTCTCACCGAACGCCCAGGAGTGGGTGCACTCTCACCTGCTCACAGAGGAGCCCGAGGTTGTAGGGGTGGCTGAAGTTCTCCCGGGGGTAGAAGACCTGGAGGAGGGCATGGAGAGCAAGGGTGGGCATGGCGTCCTGCGCAGCCCTTTCCCGCTCCCCTTCACCCCCCCGACCCCCGTCTCTGCCTTCCAGGCCAGACAGAAAATCCCCCGAAGTGGTCGTGGGGCAGCAGCTCCCCGTGTTTGTGTGTGGGGAGCAGATACTGGGGTTCCCCAGCGGGTTCCCGCACAGCCTGCCACCCCCTCCCCAGCCCTCATGCCCACCTCCTTGCGTAGGAACAGCCTCCAGGGCGCACTGGTGTAGGAGAAGCACACGCTGCCGGAGGGCACGAGTAGCTGGGTGCTCACCCCCTGATCTCCCATGGACCCCAGAAAGCCTAGCAGAGGAGGTGCCGGGAGCACCGGGTGAGGAGCGGCCAGAGCCAGAATGACAGGCTCAGGGCGAGAAGGCCCTCGCCGCCCCAGCCCCTGGGAGGCCCACCCCTCGCCACGCCACGACGCCCCACCGCACCCCGCTGCCCAGCGGCACCCCCTCGGCCCCGCCCCGCCCCGCCCCTCCTCCCGTCCCTCGGCTTCGCCCCGCCCCCTCCGCCCCGCCCCTTCCCTCCTCCCATCCCTCGGCTTCGCCACGCCCCCCGCTGCCTCGCCACGCCCCTCGACCTCGGCCCCACCCCTCCTCCCCGTCCCTCGGCTTCGCCACGCCCCCGCCGCCTCGCCACGCCCCTCGACCTCGGCCCCACCCCTCCTCCCCGTCCCTCGGCTTCGCCCCGCCCCCGCCGCCTCGCCACGCCCCCGCCGCCGCGCCACGCCCCTAGTCCCATGTCGGGCCTCAGGCTTTCCCCGGGGTCCTTGCCCACGTCAGCAGGGCCATTAAATTTCTGACAGAGCTGTCAGCTCTGCATCGAGGACATCACCCTGTGTGTGCCAGTCCCTTGGTGCCAGACAGGTTCCAGGGGTACCGGGCCCTGCCCTGGGCGGGAACGCGGAAGCTGGGGCTCCAAAGTCCAGAAGCCAGAGCAGCTGACCTCAGGCATGAGCACCCCCAGGCTGTTGGGAATCCTGCCCCCTCCACCCTTCTCCGCCAAGGAAGCCCACCGCATGGGGTCGTGGGGTTCCTTACCGCGGGGCTCAGCTGAAGGGGTCCCCGGGTCCCCAGGTGGAGGCAGTGGGGGCGCGGGTGGAGGTGGGGGTGCCTGGGCAGTGGGTGGCTTCTGGCCAAACAGCTGCTGAAGGGGCCCCTGCTTCTCCCGGATGGAGTTGGAGGTCCGGATCCGCGGTGCGGCCTTGGGTCGAGGGGCCACAGCTGGCGGAGGACCCTTCTCTGGGCACAGCGCCTGTGGGGGCACAGAGAGCGCACACGACACAAGCTGTGTCTGGGGAGAAGGCCACGCGGACCCCTGAGAGCCGCGGGCTCCTAAGCAGAGCAGCCGCGCCTTGGATGGGAAGGGACGGGCCTCACCGAGGAGGGCGATTGGGCACCGCTGATCCCCAGCTTAGCCAGAGCCTCATCCTTAGGGTTGTTTTTCTTCAGGAAATTTTGGGGGGGCCTCCTGAGAGAAGGAAAAGGTCAGGAGCCCGCAGGTTTCTCCCTGCGGAGTGGGCAGCACTGGCAGGCCCCGGGCCCACCTGGATGGCTGCACCGGCACGGGCACGGGGCCTGGGCGGCTCTGGTACATGCGGATGATGTTACGGATCTCCCTGCTGGGCAGCTTCGGGGATTCTGGTTTGGGCACCGCATCTCTGCCCTGCGCCTGCCTGGGACCACCATCAGGCTCCACCTTCTGGGCCAGCTCAGCCTCTGCCTTCCGCACAGCTTTGGTCCCACCTGGTGTCAGTGGCTTCTTCACTCCCCGGGCGGGAGGAGGAGATGGCACTGCCGAGGAGGAAACAGGTGAGACCCTGTGCAAAACTGCAGAGCCAGGCGCGCCCCCCTCACCCCCCGCATCCCGCTGCCCCCCATCTCCCTGCCACCTGCACTGGGTTCCTCCTCTTCCTGCTCCTCCCCTCGGGGGATCTGCACCTTGGCCGGAGGCTTCACCATCTTCACCTTGATCTGCTGCTGCCCTGTAAGTGCCCAGATGGCCCTGTCACCCTCCACCTGGCCAGCCCATCCGTGCCCCTGGACTGGCCACATCAGACTCAGGGGATAGAGTGCACCCGCTGACCCCTGGCCAGGCTGGGCCTGCCACCCCAAGTCCCCTCACCCATCTTCTGGAAATAGTTCCGTTTCTGCTGGAAGCTCCTCAGCCTCTCCTCCTCGTCCTGTGAGGTCTCCTGCGGGGTCTCCTCAGGGGTCTCCTGGGGGGTCTCCTGGCAGGAAGGGGAAGTGAGGGAACAGCACTGCCAGCCAAGCTGCCCCTCTCACAGTGAACCCCTCAAATCCCTGGGACTGGGGCCCGACGGCATCTTTTCTGCATCTTCCCACGCTCCTGCCCTGTCTTTCATCCCTGCAGCCCTGGAGCCGGCTGCCCCATCCGGGATGGCCTCTGCGGTCTCCACTCCTCACCCTCAGGCAGACACCCACCGGCTCCGGCTCCTGCTCCGGCTCCTCCCGGGGGGCCGGGGGCTTCTTGGGCTTCGGGGCAATGGCTGACGTGGCCTGGCGCTGGCGCTGCTGAGTCTGCTGCTCTAGGGTCAGGGACATGGCCTGGGCGGTCATCTGCTGGGCCTGAGGGGGAGGAGCAGTGGGCCAGGTTAGAGCTGGCCTGGCCCTGCCCACAGGCCTGGCCCTACCAGGCCACCTGGGGGCCCTGCCCACCCTCACCAGGAGCAACGCCTGCTGGTTGATGAAGTTCTGCTGCTGGGCTGCCAGCTGCCTGGCGTCCACGCTGGGGAGCAGGGGCTGTGGCTGCGGCTGTGGTGGCACCATCATGGCTGCAGGGTGGCAGGTGGGTGGGGCAGGTGAGCACCGGGGCCAAGATGGAAACCCTTTGCCCGCTGTGCCCTCTGAGCCTCTGGCAAGACCCTCCCTCCTCCAGTCCCTACCTCAGAAGGGACCCGGTGCCCCAGCCCAGCCTTACCTGGCATGGCAGGGACTGTGCCCATTGCTGGCATCATGGGCATGGGTGCAGGCATCATAGCTGGCTGGTATCCAGGCATCTGCATCATCCCTGGGTACACTGAGGGGACAGGGCCCTCCCAGGTTGGTCCCTAGCTGGGCCCATGGCCCACTCCTTCCAGCTCCAGGCAACGCGTTCAGGCCCAGGGTGCTGGCCGGGGCTCTAACCCCAGATCCATGGTCCTAGGCCATGCTCGCCTGTGCTGTTCCACCCCCCACTCACCCATAGGGTAGCTTCCTTGCTGCATGGGCCCGATGCCGCCCCCTCCCTTCATGCGGCTGCTCAGAGCCCTGGCTTGTTCCAGATCCTGAAGGGACAAAGGTCACAGGTCATAAGGTCAGAGCTAGAGCCCTGGGAGAGATGGGAGGGGCAGCAGAGGCCCCAGTGGGGTAGGGGCAGGGGTGGGGTGGGGTGGGGTATGTGTGCAGGACACTCACGCTGAGGCCTGGGGAGAGGACTGGCTCGAAGATGTGGTCCAGGTAGCTATCCAGGTTCCCTGAGGCCCGGGACTCCCCTGTGGAGCCGGAGGAGGGGCAGTGTCACCGCCTGGGGCGTGGGCTCCCTACACCCCCATTCCCATCTCTGCCAGCCTGTGTGCCCACTCCCAGCCTTACCTGTGTGGCCCCTGCCAGGGAGTGTCGGGGCTGGGCCTGGAGGGGGACCTGGGTACAGTGAGGGGGCCTGGACGCCCGGGGCGGGGGGGATGTCCTCGGCTCTGCGGGAGATAGTGGGCCCAACTGAGCGGGCACCTGGCTGCGGGCAGTGCCGGGCTGAGGCCAGGTGTAGAAGCTGCTGAGGGGGGTGTCCCAACGGAGGGGGAAGAGGCTTGCAGGGGTCGGGAGGCGGGAGACTGGGTCAGTGGCAGCCCCTGTAACCACCAGGTATGATACAGTGGCTGTGGGGTCAAGGTAGGGACAGGAGCAGGCCGGGGACAGGGGTGCTGGGGCGGCACCTACAAGCTTCGGGGGGCAATGGGGTAGCTGTGGGGATCAGCAGGGTCCCCCAGGTCCTCGGTCTGGCCGATCAGGTCCAGCACGAAGTCACAGCCAGCCAAGTCCTCCCAGGAGTCCCCGGAGTGCAGTGACACGGACCAGCCACGGGGGGGCCCCTCCAGGCCTCTGGATGGGACAGAGGTGTGCATTAGGGGTGTGGTCAGCCGGGCAGGTGACCATCCCCGAAGGGCCAGGGCCTGAGGGGGGCCAAGGGTGAGGGCTGCGGAGGGGACAGGACCCTGGGTGAGGGCTCCAGATTGCACAGACAGGTTGCAACTCACAACCCTTCCACTTACTCGTCGGCTCTGACGCACACGTGTACTCATTCACCTATTTAATTGGAACCCGGCCCGTAGGTGTCATCTCACTCCTGTTGCCTATCTCGTCTGGACCCTGCCCACTTACCCCGCCCCTCCCCCCCTTGCGGGGCACAGCTTTGGCCCTGGGCTGGGGCAGCTGCAGGAGGTGCTTGGTGGGAGAGTGGGCTGAGAGGACGGGACCACGCTCAGTGCTGGCTGCACCCTCCATCCCAGGCCCCCGCACCTGCTCTGCAGAATCCACCCGGCAAACTGCTCCCCCGTAGTCCAGGACTCCACCTCTGCCGAGAAGCACTCGTCTGCGGGACCGGGGTGGGGACCGAGAGTGAGAGACGGCGGCCTTCGCCCCGGCGGGAAGGGGCTGCTGTCCCCAAGGGGGCCCAAAAGCAGGACAGGAAGGAGAGCAGGATGTTGGGGTGAAGCAGGGAGGGGGTCCAGGGAGCATGAGGGGCAGGCTGGCTCCACTGTAGGCGGCATCACCATTGAGAGTGAAGACGTCCAGCACCATGCGTCCTCGGCGCCGTCCGGCCGTCCACTCGAGCTGAGTGGGGGGGTGGGCACGTGTGGTCTCAGGGGCCAGCCGTGTCTGCTCCAGGGCCACCAGCAGCTTGTGCTGGCACAGCGCTGCCATGCCGCTGGGGGCGTGGTCTGACACAAACCTGTGGGGACAGCCCTAGGCTGTGGGGGTGGGGCGGCCACTGACCGCCCCACCAGCCTCCACCTGAGCCCCCTAGTCCTGGGACTCCTCGTGCCAGGCCTCTTACTTGAGCAGCGGCTTCTGCAGGGCGGGCGCCGGGGGGAAGGCGCTGAGCAGGATGGCCATGAGGGCCCAGCCCCGCTGGCTCTGCTGCTCGTTGGGGTTGTGCCACAGCTGGGCCACGAGCTGGCTGAAGAGCTCGTCTCGCAGTCCCGGCCGGCGCTGCCCCTGCCTCACCAGGTAGGTGCCCATGGTCTGCTCCTGCCAGGACGGCAGGGACTCCTCCCCGAGGAGCCGCAGCATCTGCGGGGCCAGGCGAGGGCAGGGCATGTGGGGCTCCGTGGTCCCAGCCGCACGGAGGAGCAGGCCTGCCCTGTCCCCTCCCTGGTGTGTCACTCACCACCTTGTTGATATCCAGGGCGTGCTGAGGGTTCTCACCGTCCAGCCGGGTCAGCGGCTTGTCCAGCAGCTGCCCAGGAGCGGGCAGAGATGGCTCCTGCAAGGAAGGAGGGCAACCCAGCGCCTGAGCAGCTGGCCTTGCTGACCTGCTGGAGACGGCGCGGGGAGCCCAGGGAGCAGCGCTCTGGGGGAGGGAGGAGGAAGGACTGGCGTGGAAAACCCTCATTAAAATGCAGCTTAGAACACCAATCAGAAAGGATATATGCACCCCTATGTTCACAGCAGCACAATTCACCATAGCTAAGGTTTGGAAACAGCCCAAGTGCCCATCAGCAGATGAGTGGATTAAAAAACTGTGGTACATCTGTACAATGGAATACTACGCTGCGGTAAAAAAAGGGAACTCTTGCCATATGCAACAGCATGGATGGAACTGGAGAGCATTATGCTAAGTGAAATTAGCCAGTCAGAGAAAGATAAACACCACATGATCTCACTCATTTGTGGAATATAGAGAACAACATAGACTGATGAACAGGGACAGATCCAAAGACAGGGAAACAGCGATCAGACTATCAATCCCCAGAGGGAAAGTAGGGGTGGGCGGGGGTAAGGGGAAGAGATCAACCAAAGGACTTGTATGCATGCATGTAAGCCAAACCAATGGACATGGACAACAGGGGGATGAGAGCATGAGTGGGGCGGGGGGAGGTTGGGGGTTAATGGGAAGATGAGGACACATTTGTAATACCTTAACCAATAAAGAAATTAAAGATAAAAAAATAATAAAATGCAGCTTAGCCTGGCCAATGTGGTTGAGCATCGACCTAAGAGCCGGGAGGTCACGGTTTGATTCCGATCAGGGCACAGGCCCGGCTTGTGGGCTCGATCCCCAGTGTGAAGCAGGCAGGAGGCAGCCCATCAGCGATTCCCTCTCATCATTGATGTTTCTCTCTCTCTCACCCCCTCCCTTCCTCTCTGAAATCAATAAAAATATATTTTTTAAATGAGGCTTAACTGCTTGTTCTGATTACAAAATTGATGCCCATGCACGCGGGAAACGCAGAAACCCTGGAAAAGGATAAAGGATAAAAACCAGCCCTCGCGGTCCACCGCCCGGCACAGCCAGTTGGTGTCTTGGCCTCTCTCTCCAGTCCTACTTCCTAGTTCTCGGCACAAACACAGCCATCCCCGCCCCCACCCCCCGCCCCCGCTGTTGTCTCTACACATTGAGATTCTGTTCTGTGTGCAGTTTTGAATCGCACCCTGCAGCCGGGACAGCGTCCCCGGCCGTCACACACGCTTTAACACACGACGGCAGCGGCAGGGCCCGGCCCAGGTGTAACAGGCGTGGCTTCAGAGTGAACAACACCGGAGAGTGAGTCATTTAGGTTCAATGAATATTTTCCGAGGAAGGCAGCTGTGTCCACAGGCCCAGGCTGGGAGAGGGAAGAGGCGGGGTGGGGACAGGAATAGACAGCCGCTGCCTGGTAGGGGCTACCACCCGGGACTGTGGGCTCCGGCCAGCGAGAGCTGCGGCCTGGGGGGCCCACCTGGAAGCCGGTGGAGATGAAGGTGGAGAAGGGGAACTGGTCGATGTCCGGCGGCAGGGTCAGGCTGGGCCGAGCAGGAACCTCCGGGGGCTTGGTCTCAGTGATGCTCTGGGCCAGCGTGTGCTGACGGCCTGGGGACAGCACCGGGAGGCAGCCCAGAGGTGCCCAGGTCAGGCGCCCGGCTCTGGTGCCGCCGCCAGCCCTCACCATCACCCCGGCCCCGTGCAGAGGGAGCTGGACCAGGAGCTCCGGGGGCCGGGAGCCGCAGCGGGAGGGACCACGGGGACGGACCCTCTCACACAACTGAGGGGCTGGGAGGGGTCATGGGAAGAGTGACCCCATCAAGCAGGACTCACCTTCCTCTTCCCTCAGCAGCACGGCCAGCTCGGCCGGGATCTCCAAGCGCGCCAGCTCCTGCCGGAGGGGCATTGACCCGTGTGGGGAAGGGCCGGGCACCCGGGGTCCGTCCTTCCCCAGGTCTATGACCTCCCTCCAAAGACCCTGGGCGCACACACAGGGCCCAGGGGCCCTCAGAGGAACACCGAGGGCACCCAGGCCTCTTTTCAGGGGCACGACACATGCCCCTGAGGGACAGGACCCACACAGCCCACATGCGCCCCCAGCCGTGCCAGCTTCATCAGGTCCATAGCCCAGCAACACCCTCCAGCTTCCACCACCTACCATGCTTGGCCCGCTCTCGGAGGACCCGCCGCCGTGCCAGCCACACCAGTGCCCAAGCTGTCAGGGGAGATGCAGGTGGAGCCGATGTCCCGAGAGGAGCCACCTGGAGCCTCCCAGCAGCCCCTCCCCAGCGAGGCCGTTCAGCCGCCCCGCCTGCCCCGGGAGGCCCCGACACAGACAGAGGAGCAAGCACAGACCCAGAGGGGCCAGCTGCCTGTGCCCAGTCCCCGGAGCCCTCACCAGCCTCAGTGGGCGGCCCTGCCCGGCTGTCAGGGCAGTGAGGAGAGGGTAGGAGGGCAGGGAGACAGGAAGGAATGGTCTCAGGGGGCAAAGTCCAGCCAGGGAGGGGCCAGGGAGGGCGCAGTACGTGGGTACTGACCTTTGAGCTGCTTTATGGCCTCAACTACGAGTCATCAGACGAGAGAGGGGAGCAGGTGGGCCCCAGGAGGGCTGGAGGGGATTGGAAGACACTCGGGCAGGGAGGGGACAGGGGCCTGGGGCAGGGGCAGGGATGAAGGAAGGCAAATGGCTTCCCGAGGCCCCAGCCTACCCTGGCCAGGCAGACAGAAGTGGGAGGAGCCCAGCCAGCAATGGCCTGAGGCCTTGGCCTTGTGAGGGTGGGCACTGTCGGACTCCACCAGCAAGATGCCTTGCTTCTACCTGAGCTGCCAGTGCCGCAGCCGCCTCACCTGCAGTCTCTGCCTCCTCCGGAGCAGGGGCCGGGCCGCCAGCAGCACCGTGTTCAGCTGTCCCAGGGCTGCCCGGCGCCGGAGGTACCGCTTCCTGGAAGCCGGGAAAGGGGTGGGGAGCCCAAGCTTACACCCAGTGCCTGAATCCTTCACGCCAAGACAAGAATGTAAGAACTGACCAGTGTTGCTCAGTGGTTGAGCATCGACCTCTGAACCAAGAGGTCACAGATCGATTCCCAGTCAGGGCACAGGCTCGGGTTGCAGGCTCGAGATCCCCAGTGTAGGGCGTGCAAGAGGCAGCCAATCAATGATTCTCTCTCATCATTGATGTTTCTATCTCTCTCTTTCCCTCTCCCTTCCTCTCTGAAATCAATAAAATATATATATATATAAAATAATTCCCCAAACTCAACAACAAAAATACAAATAACCCAATTAAAAAGCAGGCAGAGGACTTAAGTACACATTTGTCCAAAGAAGATACACAAATGGCCAACAAGCACATGAAAAGGGCTCAACATCGTTAGTCTCAGGGAAATGCAAACCAAAACCACAGTGAGAGGCCAGTTCACACCCCCTGGGAGGGCTGCAATTATTATTATTTTTTTAAAGGGAAATAAGTATTGGCAAGTAGGGAAACTGGAACCCTCTCATACCGCTGGTGGGAACATAAGGTAAGGCAGCCACTCTGCAAGAACAGTTTGGCGGCTCCTCACAAAGCTAAGCATGGAGTTACCATGTGACCCAGCAATTCCACTCCTCAGACGGACCCAAAGGACTTGGAAGCAGAGACTTGAACACACACTTGCACCCTCATGTTCACCGAAGCATCATCCACAGCAGCCAAAAGGTGGGAACCACCCGAATGAGCCCCAAGGACGCGTGGACAAACGCGATGTGGTCCGTCCACACGAGGGAACGTTGCTCAGCCGTAAAGAAGAAACGAAGTCCTGATACATGTGACGATGCGGATGAACCTTGCGAGCGTCACGCTTAGTGCAATAAGCCAGACAGAGAAGAAAGCTGTAGGGGCCGACTTTCATGAAGGGTCTAGAACAGGCAGTTCATAGATGCAGAAGTAGGCGGGCGGTGACCAGGGCTGGCGGCCAGGGAGAGGGGAGCTATTGCTCAGTGGGTAGTTTCTGTTGGGGATAGAAACGTCCTGGAAATAGGTAGTGGTGACGGGTGTCCCCTCTCCGGAGGCTCCCTGGAGTCCCCGCCCTCAGCTGTCCTCAGCGCTTCAGCAATCACCTTTGGGGTGACCGGCGCTGGTTTACCCTCTGCCTCTGACTCCCCAGCTAGCCTGGGAGGCACCTTCCCGGCCTTCACCTCTGTGCCGCCAGCATCCGGCTGGGTGGATGGAGGAGCGCTGGGAGTTTATTAGGTGAGAAGGGGGAGGGAGAAGCGTAGGGCTAGGAAACCCAGAGCCCGGAGTGTGAAAGTCTGGCCTAAGTCTGACTCGTGCCTTTATTTGTTTATTTGTTTGTTTATTTGTTTATTATTTTGAGAGAGAGTGGAAGGGAGGGGGAGAGACAGAGAGAGAGAAACATAGATGTGAGAGAGACAGGATTGGGTGCCTCCCGCACCCCGACCAGGGCCGGGGATTGAGCCTGCAACTGAGGTACGTGCCCTTGACCGGAATTGAACCCATGACTCTTCTAGGCACTGAGCCAAACTAGCGAGGGCCGACTCATGCTTTTAAAAGGTCATTCTTGCTGCACAGTGATGAACAGACTAGAAAACAGGACACTCAAGGCGTTAAGACTGCAGGCTGGGCGGCCTGGACGGATCGTGAGTGTCCTGTGACTGGGGTCTTCAAGCAGAGATTATGGCTATGGGCGGGGATGCTGTAAGGAGAGTCCAGTGCTGATGGGATGGGGCACTGGGCAGGCCTTGAGGCCTTATGTCTCCCCAACCTGCCCCACCACCTTGAAAAGGCCCAGGGCCCCGCCCCACCCCTGCAGACCTGGCCTGGAGCCCCCGCACACGAGCCTGCATCCGCGGCAGGAGGCGGAGGCGCTGGCGGGAGATGCAGGCCCGCAGCCCACGGTGCAGGATGAGCAGGGCCTGGGCGCGCCGCTGGGCCCAGTGCTGCTCCAGCTGCTGCCAGCCCGGCTCCTGCAGCAGGACCTGGGGGCAGAGGTGTGGGCTGGAGCAGGCCAGTGTGGGTGCCTCCTCCCTTCCAGCCTGGGGTGCCCAGGACACCTGCCACCCAGCCCCAGCCCATCTCCCGACCACCCAGAAGGACCACCAAACCCTGGGTTTGTCCCTAAATCCTCCTCTCCCTTCTAGCCAGGCCTGCCCCTTGGCACACACCCCCACCTGGGTGGTTCCAAGGTGACAGAGGGGCGACTCAGGCCCCAACACCTGGCTCAGGATGGCGCCACACCTCTCCCGGTCAGAGGGCTCTCCCTGCTCCCCGGTCCCCAGGGTCCGGAACCTGCCGGGAGGACAGAGCCAAGGCTGGAGCAGGCACAGCATAAACCTCCCGCCACAGCTGTTGGGCACCCGAGCCTCCAGGTGTCCATTCAGTCACTAAGTCATTCGACAATGATTGGGAAAGCACCTACTATATGCTAGGCACCTAGGAGAGTTTTGCTGAATGGAGGAGGGGCAGTGACCTCCGGGAGGCATGGAGGGGAGGATGGCCAGTGAATAGTGAAAGGAGAGAGAGATGGAGGGAGAGAAGAACGAAAAGAGGAAGGGTCGGATGCCAGGCCCTAGGTCCCTGGGAAGGCGGTCACCTCCACCGGGAAGGAACCCCAGGAGTGTGGGGCGCAGCAACAGTGTTTGGCCAGGCTCAAGCCTCGGACTAACGAAAGGACAGGGTCCTCTCATGGCCACGTGCAAGTCCCAGCTGGAGGGCAGGGCCCCCCAGCACAATCATAGCCACCGGCTGTGGCTGTGAGCTTGAACCTATGGTCCGAACACGTGGCCCCGCGTGCCTTGTGCTAGAGTTCGGGTGCATGTAGTTGAGTGAGGGTGGAGCTCACGAGAATGCTGTAAACCACGTGATCACGCCCCTGCTTTGCCTCGTGGCAGCTGCTATAAAATAAAGACACGGCTCGTGGGCGCAGGCGCTGTCTCCTCATCAGGGAGCAGCGTCCCACCGAGACCCAGCTTTCATTCTCTGGTCTGTCTTTTCTCAATCCTTTTACCCCCCCCCCCCCCCTCAGGATCACCTTTGACCATAACAAGTGGCGCCCAAGCAGGCCCTTTGGCCGTAACAAATGGTGCCCGACCAGGGACTGAGTTCTGGGACCAGGGCCTGAGTTCGGGCTCCCCACACAGGAGGACCAGTCACACTGGGGGGCCTTTCTCGTGTGTCCTGTCCCTGAAGTGCATGGGCCCCTGGTTGCCGCCATCCTGGAGCCCCACCTGGCCAGGAAGGTCTGGAAGGGCAGGCGCACAGGGAAGTGGGCACTGCGGGCACAAACGGCCTCCAGGACGCCTGCCTGGCGCAGCTGCTCGGCCACGTGTCCCACATCAAAGAGGCTGGGAAGCTGTGGCCGTGGGACAGAGCCAGTAAGAGGTGGAGTCAGGGGCTTCAGCTTCGGGAAATGCAGGGCAGGGCACATGGAGGGGGAGAGGGGAGGAGGGCAGGGCACATGGAGGGGGAGAGGGGAGGAGGGCAGGGCAGGGGGGAGGGCTCTGGGCCAGGTGCCAGGGGAGCTCACCTTCCCGGGGTTGGGGTTGAGGCACTGGATGAAGTAGATACGGCTCCTGATGGGTGGAGGGGGGTTACTGAGGTACAGATCAGGCTCCCATCCAACTCCCTGCCACTGGTTTGGGGGCACTGCTCTCACCTGCCCAGCCTGGCTAGGAGGTCCCCCAGGGACTGCTGGAATCGAGAGGCCAGGGTGGGCTTGCCTTGCCCTCCCCCGCCCTGGGGCTCTGCTTCCTGGAACAGGCTGCCCACCAGCTGTGGGGAGAGAGGAGGCTTGTCCATAACCCAGCTTGCCCCCAGCCGGGGGAGCCAGGGTGGACCAGCCCACAGCATCCAGACCCTGGCCAGCTCAGGCCGTGGCCCCAGGTGCCAGGGCCTTGGGGGCAAGCCCCTTGAGCAAGAGTGTCCGGGCAAGAAGGGCAGAATGAGGGGACAGAGTGCAGAGGGGCAGGGCCGGAGACTGGCAGGGGCACCTGGAGCTGGCTCTGGGCAAGCATTTCTACCACCGCAGGGTCAAGGTGGTCCCGGTTTCTGTTTAAAAATTTGTGAACCTGCAAAAGACAAGGTGGGGAAGGGGGAAGCCAAGGGTGTGGAGGCCGGTCCCTTTGCCGAATATTCTTCCTCTCCCCTCGGAGTTAAAGGCCGCCTTGTCTCTTCAGGCGGCTGTGCTGGGAACACCGGAAACCCACACACAAAACAATAAAACCAGACTCTTATCTCACACCAGGCACAAAAGGTAACTCCAAACGGATGGATCAAAGGCCTAATGGAAGACCTGGAATGTAAAACGCTAAGAAGAAAACAGGGAGAAAGCGTCATGACACTGGAGTTGGCAATGACTTCCCGAACATAACACCAGAGGCACAGACACCAAAAGAAAAAAGTAGTTCAATTCGATTTCAGCACAATTAGACACTTTTGTGCATCAAAAACTACTGTTTAGAGAGCAAAGACAACCCACAGAATGGGAGGAAATACTGCAGAGCAGATAAGGGATTACTATCCAGAGCTCCTCCAACTCAACAAGAAAAAGGCAACTCGATTCAAAAAACGGGCAAAGGCCTTGAGCGGACATTTCTCCGAAGCTGTGCCAACAGCCCGGACGCGCATGGGAAGGCCCTCAACCTCACTCACTGGTCACTAGGGAAACGCAAATAAAACCACAGTGAGATCCAGTTCCACACCCAGCAGGATGGCTATAACTGTTTTAAGTGGAAAATAACACGTTTTGGCAAGGATGGAGGGAAACCGGAACCCTCCTCCACGCTGGTGGGAGCATAAAACGGTGCAGCCGCTGAGGAAAAACCATCTGGCGGCTCCTCAAACATCTACACAGAGAACAATCCTAAGATCCAGCCTCTAATTCTAGGTAGAGACCGGACAGATACTTGCACACCGTGTTCACAGAGGCATTCGTCACCACAGCCGAAACGGTAGAAGCAACTCAAGTGCCCACACTCAGATGAAAGGTAGGCAAAGGGCTGTCTGTGCACACAATGCAATCTCATTCTGCCATAAAAGGAAGGTGACCGACACATGCTGCAATGTGGACGAGCCCTGGAAACATGCTTAGTGTGATCTGTGAGACACGAAAGGGGTGTGTGTGTGTGTGTGTGTGTGTGTGTGTGTGTTGATTCCATTTGTATGAGATACCTAGTATAGGCAACTTTATAGACAAAGTCTGATTAGCAGGGGCTGGGGGGATGGGGATGGGGAGTTAGTGTGTTTAATGGGTACAGAGTTTCTGTTTGGGACGATGAAAAACTTCTGGAGCCCAACCAGTGTGGCTCAGTGGTTGAGCGTTGACCTATGAACCAGGAGGTCATGGTTCCATTCCCAGTCAGGGCATATACCTGGGTTTTGGGCTCAATCCCCAGTGTGGGGCAGCTGATCAATGATTCTCTCTCATCATTGATGTTTCTCTCTCTCTCTCCCTTCCTCTCTGAAATTTAAAAAAAAAAAAATTCTGGAAGTGGACAATAGTGATGGCTGCACAATAATGTGAATGTACTTAAAGCCACTGAATCATACCCTTAAAAATGGTTAAGGTGGTAAAATGTATGTAATGTATAGTTTACGACATTTTTAAGGCCACCTTGGTCATGTGCCGGCTCCTTTCTACACCCTGGGGTCTGTTTGGGGCTCTGAATTCTGTCCCATGGGTGGCTCTGCTTCTTGTGAGCACCATACGTTTAATTACTGGAGCTTGGAAATACGTTTTAATATCTGTTAGAACAAACTCCTCCATAACCTTTTGCTTTTCAATATTTTCTTGGCTATTCTCATGCATTTCTTTTCCAGATGCTACTTTAGAATAATTTCATCAAAACCCATTCCTCCTCCTCCCAAGGGGGTATTGTCTGGAATTGCACTACTTTTATCAATCAAATGGGAAAGAATGGACAATATTAAGGCTCCCCAAAATGAACATGGTTTGTCCCTCCATTTATATATATTTTTTATTCTTTTTTTTGTCCCTCCATGTTTTATTTATTTTTTATTCTAGAGAGGAAGGGAGAGGGAGAGAGAGAGAGAGAGAAACATCAATGATGAGAGAGAATCATTGACTGGCTGCCTTTTACACGCCCCCTACAACCAGCCTGCAACCAGCATGTGCCCTGACTGGGAATTGAACCATGGCCTCCGGGTTCATAGGTTAACACTCAACTACTGAGCCACACCAGCCGGGCTGTCCCTCCATTTTTAAATCTTTTGTGACTTCAATAGAGTTTTATATTTTCTTTATTCAATCGCCACGTGCCTCTCTGATGTGGCTGTTTTGGAGCTATAGTTGACATGCTCCTTTTGTTTCTTGTCTGGGTTAGCTCTGGGGTAGTTTGTGTTTTTTCGTCTACAACAAAGATGGCCAAGCCTTGGGAGGGGCCTCCCCTCCCCCACTCCTGCCACCTGTCTGTCAGGTGGCTCAGCTCCGAAAGGAAACACCAGGGACCCAGTGCCCTCCCTGATCCCCCCACCCCCATACCTGGTAGGTGACGGTCCCTGCGTAGTGTCGCACGGTGAAGATAGGAAGGGGCAGCTGGGGCTTGGCGTAGCATGGGTGATCGCCATGGTGATAGTGGCACTTCTGCAGGAAGGTGTGGTCGGTGGCCTGACAAGAGAGATGGCTCCCTCAGGCCCTGCTTCCCTGCCCCGTGCCCCGTGCCCAGGTGCCACAGTGAACCGAGGCAGCCCTGCTGCGAATCTGAGTCCCTGCGAAGGGCGCCTCTCTCGCTCCCAGGGACTGTTTGGACAACAAGGTGCTGTTTGAGAAAGACACAGCTCCTCACACACGGAAACCGCCCCCGTCAATAAACACCGATCACTTTAAAGGTGCGGGGACTTTACGACAGGTGCAGACCACGCCTGCGGGCACGCACAGCTGCAGGTGTTTCTACACCAGTCCTTTTTTTTTTTTTTTTAATTGATTTCAGAGAGGAAGGGAGACGGAGAGAGAAACATTGATGTGAGAGAAAAATCCATTGGTTGCCTTCCCTACACACCCTGACTGGGGATTGAATCTGCAACCTGGGTGTGTGCCCTGACTGGGGGTTGAACCCGTGACCTTTTGGTGTACAGAACGACGCTCCAACCGTGCCACACCGGCCAGGCCTACATATTAATACTTTTATATTAAGATGATATTGATCAATGAAGTATCACGTTCGTGTACTTTATCATTGTTTTTCATCATTATTTTCAGCCTCTAATGAAATGGGAAAATGGGAAGGCGTCCTTATATGCGGGGTCATGGTGTATTTAGCTTAAACGGCCTCACATGCCAGAGGAGGCCCAAGCTGCACACGTGCTCTCGTGGCCCTGCACATCCATGCACCGAGCCATGCAGGTGTGGCTTAACGTATGCGTGTGTGTGCTCTGCGTGTGTTAACACTTCTTTCCTGCTACACTGCAGACTCTAAGGGAGGGGCTGGGTTACTTTTGCTCACCTTTTTTATCCCTAGCACAATTCCTGTCACAGATATTCATGCATTTAATATTTAGTGCCCCCTTAACCATGTGCCAGGCGCTGAGACAGGGCTGAAACCCTTCGAGGAGGGCCCAGTCTCTCTCAGGAGGGTCAGTGAGTAAATATACAACGGAATTGCCATGGACACAAGTGCTATCAATTATAAGGAAGGCAATCTGAGAGCAGCAGGGAGCTGAGGTCGGGTGGGTGGAAGGCAGTACAGTATTTGCTCACTTCCCAGGAGCCCTGCTCAGTCCCCTCCTCCGTGCCCCTCAGGCATGATGGCCTCCTTCTGCAGCGAGGACTGAGGAACCTCAGAGAGGTCAGACCTCTTGCTCAAGGTCATCCAGCACAGGGTTTGAACCCCGTTTGGCCACTGCCTTCCCAAGCTGCACGGAAGGTGTCATTCTGTACACCAACAGGTCACGGGTTCACCTTATTGCTCCCCCCTCCTTGTCCTGCCACTGGGGGCTCACCTGGGACAGCCATGTCTGGGCATCCAGGATATGCAGGAGGCTCTGGGGCTGTTCTACCAGGAGGTCCAGGCAGGATTCCCTCGGAGGCTGGGGGATGGGCACCCAGGGCAGCGACTCTCGCCGACATTCCTCCTGGGAACAGCCAGCACTTGGCCGTTTGTGGAGCCCACCCACATTCATGGGCGACCTCATCTGAGCCAGAGCAGGGGTGGCCTTCCCATTTTACAGATGAGAAAACTGAGGTTCAGAAGGACTGAGACAGCCCATAGCAAGCGGGCGTTGGGGTAGAGCTCTCAGTGCAGTGCCCGCCCTGAAGCAGAGATGGCCTCTGTTCTGAGTGCCCCTCACCTCCTCCTGGGCCAGCAGCATCTGGCTGGAGAAGAGCTGCAGGCGCTCGCTGGCAAGGTTGTTGCACAGTTGCTCTAGGCCGTTCACCCGCAGTGCCTGGGGGCACGTGGGCAGTGAGGTGGGCACCCACCTGAGATGAGGGCACTGGGCAGGGGTGGGGAGTGGGCACACAGGGATCCCCCTCCCACAGGGCTGCCTGCATTCTCCCCAGCATTCAGGGAGGAGCGGTGCCCCAGGGCTAATGGTGCATCCTACAGGGTCAAGTGCAAAGGCCACAGTCAGGCCTCCCTCTAGGATTCCACACCCCTGCCCTCAGCCTCAGCATGAGCCACAGACACCCTGTGGTCTGGAAGACTCCTTTGCCTACGACCTAGCTTGCTGGCTATCAGAATCCCACATCCTCATAAACAGGGCTTCAGGCTGCCGCCTCCAAGAAGCCTTCCGATATTCCTCCTGTAGGGATTACAGACTGCTTCCTGTGTGCCCCCCAGCAGAGCCCCCACTTCTGGTAGCTTTGAACAGAGGGTGTTGACACGCTCTAAAACACACAAGAGCACACATGCACACGGGCACACACACACTTGTCATGGTCACCAAGGACACACTGGAGGGGCGGGCAGTGAACAGGCTGGGGCTGCCTCTTGTTCTAGCCCCTCCTCCCTGCCCTGAGGAGGCAGGATCCCCTGGAAAGGGGTGGAGAGCTTGTGGAAGTCAGGGTGACTGGAGGGCCCTTGGTGCATGGGAGGTGAGGCCACGGGCTGCCCCTTCCTGGGGCCTTTATCTCCCGCTGCCCTAGAGGTGACGTCAGGCCTGGACCGAGCAGGGCAGAATGGCTGCCCCTACGGAGTGTGCGGCTGACTCACGAACCCTCTTCGGGCCCGGCAGGTCAGTAGTTCACCAGTGCCCCTCCCAGGGAAGCTGGCGCTGCTGGGGCCCCCAGAAATAATCAGGATGAAGTGGGCACCCTGTCCTGGGCCCCACCGCCAGGGGTGACCTCAAAACCATAGACGTCCACGACAGTGATGGTGTTCGTGCTGCCTCCCTCCCCGGGTGGGGCCAGCCGCGTGTTGGTCCTCCTCAGGAGCCAGGCGAAGAGCCGCGAGTACAGGGCCGTGGCCAGGGCGTCCCTGTGGGCACGGGGTGTGAGCCGCGTGCAGCAGCGTGCCCGGCGAGGCTATGGCTCTCTCTTGCCCCCAGGGCACCTGGCATCAATGGCCCTCTCCAGGGGCAGGGATCTTGAGGCCGGGCCGTAGGGCGTCTCCTGGGGGCAGAGGGTGTGCACGTGGCATGTCAGGCCGAGGCCCACATGGGCACTCAGCCAGCCATCAGGTGGTCCGGCTGTGCCCACGCCTCCCCGGAACCCTCGAGCTCACCGTGACGCATCTGGTGACAGCCCCCTCCAGGCGCTCGGGCGGCACCCGCAGCAGCCGGGCTGCGGTGTGGATCTCGGCCCAGCTGGACACGGCAGCCACCTCCTGGGACTCCCTCTGGACAGAGGAGGAGGGAGCAGGGAGCGCTCTGCTTGGGCAGCGGCCATGTCCCACAGGGCAGAGGCCGGGCCTTGCTCTGCAGGGCAGCTGCCCCGTTACCCAAAGGTACATGGGTGGGTCTGGGCCGCAGGAGCCCGCTCTACAGTCCAAGGGCCCTGAGTGCGAGTCCTGACTTCACCTCTTCACTAGCTGGCCCGCCTCACAAGTCTCTTTCCTGTCTGAACCGCTACTGTCTTACTGCAAAAGGGGAAACACGCCCCTTATGTTGTGGAGGGCGGCTCCCACTGGCTGAATGGTGTGGGCTCGGGAGGTGCAGCAAGTAAACAAAGCTTGATCAGGTGCATGTAATTGAGTAGATTCGAAACCCACTAGAACGTTGTAAACATCTTGACAGCGCCTTTACTGCGCCTCCTGGAATCTGGCTATAAAATAACGACTCGGCCAAGCTGTGGCGCTGTCTCTCCATCAGAGGGCAGCGTCCCACCGAGCCCCAGCTTTATTCTCTTGTCTGTCTTTTCTGATCCTTCACGGCCCCCCCTCAGGCTCACCCATGGCCATGCTGGCGCGGCACACTTATGTTCCAGGGCTGTCCTGAGAACCAAATTAGAAAACAGATGTACAGCGGTTCACACAGCGCCTGGTACTTAACAGCTGCTCAGGGAGTACCAGGTGTGCTTCCTGGGGGTGGCAGCGGCACAGATGCCCACCTGGACGGTGGGGGTCTGCCTGCTTTCCAGGGCAGCTGGGAGGCCCGAGGCTGGCCCAGGGCGGTGCAGTCTCCCCCCCCCCCCCCCCCCACACACGCTTGGGCATCGATGCTGCTGCCCTGATTATGCAAACAAGCCACATGGGCCCGGCGCCTCAGGGAGCCCACCTCTGACGAGGAGAAGCAGATGTTGCCCAGCTGCAGGATGGTAGCCAGCACGGCCCAGACTGCGGTCAACTCCTCGGGGCACAAGCCCAGCGCCTGCAGGGCCTTCACCAGTCCTGCGAAGTCCTGGGCATCCTCCTTGCCCTGGAGCCTGCAGGCCCGGCCCTGCAGAGTGCAGCAGGGTGGCAGCAGGGCCTGGCCCCCAGCCTTGCTCTACCCCAGCTCCTCCTCAGACCCCCCACCAAGCCCCCTCCCTGGGCAGGCCCTGCCGCCCGCACTGTGTGGACCTGGCCCCCACCTGGTTGAGGTAATAGTAGGTCTCTGGTTCCTGCAGGGACAGCTGCTCCCGTTCCGTGGGGTCCAGCCCCACCAGCAGCTCGTAGAAAACATGGAAGCTCCGCTCAGCCTGGGCCTCGGGGGAGAAGGCCTAGCTTAGGGGGACAGTGGCCTGGTCCTGTGCCCCAGGGCAGCAAGGACAAGTCCTGGGGAAGGCAGGCCTGGAGGCCTAAGGACCACAGCCCCCCCCCCCCCCAGGGGCCCCTCCCTCTTTCCCACGCTAGGAGCTGGAAAGGGCGAGCTGCAGGGCGGGTCTTACCTGAAACACCACCCTCGAGGTCTCAAGCAGATAATGTGACACAGAAGCTCCCACGATGACCCCGCTGTGGGCACAGGACGCTGGGTGGGGGTGCCCAGGGTGCACGCAACCCAGGGGCCCCGCTCAGAATGGGACCCACCATGGGCAGCAGCCTCAGGCTCCCAGGGAGCTGGTGGTGCGTGGCCCCTGTGCCCACCTGGACCCCCCTCACTTACTGCTGCAGGCGGAGACATAGGACCTGGCCGAAGCGGCTGGCGTTGGCATTGAGGACTGTCTTGGCGTGGCCAAAGCTGCCGAGCCAGGGCAGCACGTCGTCCAGCTGATGGGGAAGGGCATTCAAGTCACCCCAGAAGAGCCGTGAGCCCCCTGGTCAGGCCTCCCAGCTGCGGGCACTCTGTGCATGGGGACTGGGCTGTCCCCGAGGAGAAGCCAGGGACCCGAAGCCCCCCTCCTGGCCCAAAGGAGAAGGGTGGTCCCGGGAAATGGCCAGCTGCCGCCACCTGACATCCTCCGTCCCTCGTCTGCTCCTGCTCCAGGCTGCTCAGGAACCGCACCATCTGTTTGGCGGCTTCTGTCTTCCCTGAGCCACTGTGCCCACTGCGCGAGGGAGGCCCATCGCATGACCCCACTGAGCCGATGAAGTGGGGACATGCCCAAAATGCAGACAGTCCCGGGGCGTGAGGACCAAACAGAAACAGTCCCTGCGCGGCCTCGTTCAAGGGGCACATGCGGTGACGTCAGCCGGGAGCGCAGCCCTCCCGAGTCCGGAGCTGCCGCGGGGAGCAGAGCCCTCACCCACCCGTCCCAGCCTCAGTGTGGCCGGGGGTTCAGCGGGCAGGGAGCCACCCCTCACCTGAGGAGAACGCCTGCGTCCCGCCCCGAGCCCCGACACAGGCTGTAGGCTGATGCCGCGACGGCGAAGATGTGTCTGAGAAAGAGGGCGGGCCGGTGAGCAGGCTGCAGGGGCCTCTGGGCCCTCCTAGGGGGAGGCAGGATGCACCCCCCTCCCCAGGACCCCAGTCAACGGGACCTGCAGGGCTCAGCCGCCAGGGGGTGAACCAAAGGTTGGTGGAGAAAGGCACTCACGGGGTGGCACTGGGGGCCTTCCTGGGGTGGTAGCTGGCCAGGACCTCAGGCGAGAAGACAGGCAGGGGCCAGCGGGGGTTCAGAGCGAGCAGGAGGGGCCCCCCAAAGGTCTGGGGAAGGAAGCACAAGCTCTCACCAGAACATGGAGGGGGCAGGGGAGGCAGATGGAACGGGGCCGGATGCTTCCCGCCCAGACCCGGCCCTGCTCTGCAGGGCCCCAGAGAGGGTTCGGCGCCCAGCCCAGGCAGGAGAAGAGAAGAGGTGCTCTGGGGTGCTGGAGGGCCCTCTGATCCCAGGGGGAAGGGAGTCCCAGCCCTCCATCCCCTCGGGGACCCCCATACGTAGATGCGGCCCAGGCGAAACCTCTTCTTGAGGCACAGCAGAAGGGAGCTGTCACACAGCGGGCTGCAGGGGGGTGGGGGGGAGGAGAAGAGAGGGGAGAGAGGAGGCCCCAGGTTATTCTGCCACTGGCTGCAGACACTGGGCACATCATGCCCCTCTGAGCCCATCCCTAACGGCCGGCTGCTAGGTAAGCTCCCACCCAAGGGGCCTGGCAAACAGGGAAGCTTTGTGCGGGTTAGAGAAGGAAGTTCCAAGCAGGGACATCTGCTGGCCAGCCCCCACCTGCCCCTGAGCCTGGCCACCGTTAGGGAGGCGCGACCCCTCCGCATGTTATAAAAACGAGGAGGTGCGATATGAGAAACCCGGAGCCCCAGGCCGCGCGGGTCTGGAACCGCCCGCTCACCGCAGCCGGGCCAGGTCCTCGGTGTCTTCCAGGAGGGTCCCTGGGTTCCTGCCCTCGGCACCGGGGAGGGACGGCGCCTCCAGGCCGGACCCAAGGCTCAGCTCCAGGTCCCTCTCCAGCGCCTCCTCCACCTCGTCCTCCGGCTCCCAGGGATCCCTCTGCGGCCGGTAGGGCCCTGGGCGCTTCTCCAAGGTGAGTTGGGGCAGCAGCGCGTCTGAGCCAGGCCCCGGGTCCTCGCGGGCGTCGGGGTCCTGCGCCCAGTGCACCGGCGCCTCCGCTTCCAAGGTCCCGGGCTCTGCTTCGCTGCTGGAGCCGCTCCCGTCCCGCGGGGGTCCCGCCTCCCCTTCTCCACTCTCCCAGCGCCCCTCACTGTCCCTTGCGGCCCCTGCACAAGGCCAAACGCGCCCCTCCCTGGAGGGGGCGTCCTCGGACGCGTCCTCTGAGCTCCGGCTGCTCGACGCCCTCCCCGCCCTGTGGATCCTCGGGAACACGACCGCGAACTTGGGATCCGGAGTCGGGTCCTGGTTCTTCGAAGGGTCCGGGCGGGCTGGGCTCTCCGCGACCTGCGGGGAGCTCGGGCTGCCGCCAGGGGGAGCCCTCGGCCGTCCCCGCAGCCCCACCACGCCCGCCAGGCGCAGCCCCAGACGGCGCCGCAGCCCCCGCGCGCGCCCCGGCCCCTCGCGCGCCCCCGGCCCCTCGCCGGCGGGCTGCTCGGCCTCCTGCCCCCCGCCCCCCCGCAGCCCGAGCAGACGCCAGAGCCACCGCAGGAGGCCCAGGGCCTGGGCCACGCCAAGCAGCCTTTTCTTGAGGCTTGGGCGACGGGGACCCGCAGCCTGGGGAGCGGGCCCGGGGGGCGCCCTCGCGCGGAGCCGGTGCAGCGCCACAAGGGCGGCCAGCGGCGCTGGGTCCCCGGGCCCGTCTCCCCCCCCACCCCCTGCTGCGCCCTCGCTCGCCGCCGCCTGCACCTTCCCCGACACCTGTCCGACCTGGCGGCGCAGAGCCCTGGCCGTCGAGGCCTCGGCTCCCCCGGGCTCAGCCTCTGGCCGCGCCCCGTCGTCGCTTGTGTCCCGAGAAGCCCGCGAGCTCTTGGGGACGCCAGCGGGGCCGCCCTCGAGGGGGCCGGAGGTCGTGGCCTCCCTGCGCGGCTCGGCCTCCTCCGTGGCCCGGCTCCCTGACCCTGGGGCTGCCCGCGGGCCCGGTTCAGGTCCGGCCTCCTCCCGCCTCCAGTCCGTGTCTGACCCGGAATCGGCCGTCGCTCTCCGGGGCCCGGTCCACAACGACCCTCCCCGGCTTCGGGGCTCTGAGTGGGGCTCGTCGCTGCTCCTGCCGTCGCTGCTGGGGTGCGCGCCCTGCCCCAGCGCGGCCGCCGGCCCGGCTCGGGTGTCTCCCGAGCTCGCGTTCGTTTGCTCGGGGTTGGGCCGCAGCCCCGGGGTCCCGCCGCTCTGGCTGCCGCTTTCCTGGTCCTCGCGGGCCTCGCTGTCCGGGCAGGAGCTGCCCCGGTCGCCGCCCGACGTGTCCCCATCGGGGCTGCGAGGCGCTCGGCGTCCCCGCCTCGCCGAGGGTCCCCGCCCTTTCCCTTTCCTCCTGCGGCGGCCGTGCCCGCCTGTTCTCCCTTCTCCTCGGGGGAGACTGTCCTCCAGGCGCCCCCCACGGCCGTCCCCGGGCTCACGGCTCTCCCTGGGCCCGCGTCCCCGACGCCTGGCACTGCCTTGCCTCCCCGGAGCCGCTGGCGGAGGCCCAGCCCCTGGCCGTGGGCAGCCGCCGTTCCCCTGTGCGGTGGGCTTCCTGCGGCCGCCAGGGGTCCCCGGCGCTCCCGCGGTGGCGGGGTCCGAGACAGGTCCGGAGCCCCGAGCCTCACCACGGCCCCGTCGGCGGTCCCCGCTGGCAGACCCCGACTCCTGCTCCCCCGAGTCCGGCCTCTTGGGTCCCTCGGGGCAGCGGGGCGCTTTGCCCTTTCTCCCGCCCATGGCGCCCGGTGCAGAGGGGCGGGAAGGTGGCTTCCTCCTCTCCCCTTGGATCTGGCTGCCGGGGACTCCCTCAGCCCTCTGCCCTGCACCACCCGGGTCTGCTCTGGCGGGGTCTACAGCCTCCCCCCCCCCCCCCTCCCGCCTTATTCATGAGCATCAATAATGCAAGTGGCTGTGGGTCCTGACCCCCGAATAACAATGAAGCAGAGGCCTCGCAGGAAAGAGGAGACGCTGCAGCTGCGGACAAAGGCCGAGGACAGGGCAGCTGTTCCGCCGGGGAGTCGCTGCCAGCTAGGCCGGCCTGGCACCGGGCCACACCGAGCCACTGCTTGCGGGGCAGCGGCTGAGGGGTGCGGAAAGGACCTGTCTGAGCCCTCCTCTCAGTCCTTGGGCTCTGGGGGCCACCCACCCGCCTCCCTTAGCCCCCGGATTCCCCAGAAGACGGGGACCAGGCTGACCTGGGCACACAGCGAGCACTGCATGCGTTTTGTTAGCTTGTCGTTCTTTGAGATTGTGAAATAAAACGGAAAGAAACCAGCAGAGCATAAATGTACACCTTCAGCTGGTCAACTGGACACCCGGGAAAGGGGGGCCCCACCCCCTCGGGCAGTTCTCTCCTCTCTTCCTCCTCCTTTTCTCTTTCACCCCCTCACCTGCTTTGTCCACAAGTATTGTGAGCGCCTGCACCCTGTGCCCAGCCCTCTCCCGACCCCACACTCCCTCCTTCCGGGAACCATCTCCTCCTCTGGCTCGGCCTCACCCACCCTCCGTCAATGACTTTCACTCCTTCGGTTGTTTCCTAGGAGCCAGGTGCTGTGCGATGATGTTTCAGACTTTGTTTAATCCTTACAGCCCTGAGGCAGGCCCGATTATTCTGCCCCATTTTACAGAGAAGTAAACTAAGGCCCAGGAGTGAGGTCCTTTACCCAAGGCCACACAGCCATCATGGGCAAAGCCAGTGTTCAGTGGTTGGGTCTGCCTGGCTTCTAAGATCCAGGCCTCTAGACCAGGTGTCCAGCTGCTCTGGTCCATCTCCCCGGCCCTGGAGTCAGCAGTGACCGCCTCCTCCCCACTCATTCGCCTTCAGGGCGGCTGTCTGTCAATTCAACCTCTCAATTATCTCCATTCTGCCCCTATGGTCACCTCTCCCGGACTGCTGCCGCTGGAAGACCCTGAACTCCTCTCTGCGCGCCAGCCCAGCTTCCATTAATACGCGTTCCAGAGAATGCCAGCCCTTCCACTTGTGAGCAGCTATCAGTAAAAGTCGTTGATCTCTCAATATGAGAATGTTCTCTTAGAACTGAAACATGCCAACTGAAATATTAGCTGACATTAGCTAATATTTCAAAGAGCAGTGTACTTCAGACAAAGCCCGTCCTTAGTGAGTGCGGATATAAATCCATTGTCAGAGTCTTCGTGACCTTTTCAGGTGTGTGTGTGTGTGTGTGTGTGTGTGTGTGTGTGTGTGAACATCTTGTTCAGCCTGATTAGCCAGATCCCTGCTGCTGCCACGAAGCTTCCTAAGCCACGGAAGTACTGGCTGTGCCATTTCTCCTGTTACTGGCGCTTGCAGTGTTACCATTATCTTCAATTCTTGGCTTCTTGGCAGGAAACTTCATGTCACTTGTTCATTTGTGTGAGTTAGTTTAGCTAACCGGATTTTGTATTTATTATTTGTTTTTTAAATATATATTTATTGACTTCAGAGAGGAAGGGAGGGGGAGAGAGAGATAGAAACATCAATGATGAGAAGGAATCATTGATCGGCTGCCTTCTGCATGCCCCACACTGGGGATCGAAGCCGAAACCCGGGCATGTGCCCTGACCAGGAATCAAACTGTGACCCTCCTGGTTCATAGGTCAACGCTCAACCACTGGGCCACACTGACCAGGCTGGGCGTCTTCCCCTCCGACAGTAAGGGGACTCCCTCTGCCCTGACCCAGGGATGCGGTCAGACAGACTCCAGCTGGTTAAATCCAGCCATTTATTCCCAAAGACAGAGGCACAGCAATGACCGGACACCCAGGGACCTTTAGCTGCTTCAAATGCCGAGGAAACGGATCCTCCTGAGCACCAGCCTGGTCCCAGGGCGAACCCAGGGCCAGAGGCGGGGAGCCAGCTAATGGTTTTATATGGGAAACTTCTGCATAATTGAAAAGTTAAAGTTGTTGGACCAGTGAAGAGGTAATAAGGTGTTTATTAAAAACTTTTTCACCCAGAGGCAGTTAAAATTTATAATTTAAAACCCAACCCACTACAAAAAGCAGGGGGGGATGATAAAAACTGTGCAACATTGACAAAAGGACCGAGACAGACAAGGCCCGGGAGGGACAGCCCGGGGCTGGGGCCCTCCTCTCCCGGGGCCGGGAGCAGCAGCAGAGTGGAAGCCGAGGCAGCCCCGGCCTGTAGCCGGCCCGGCGCGTGGGCCCTCCAGGCGGCCAGTGCCCGGAGGAGCAGCCCTCAGTAGTGTGTTCACCGCACGGCCTGGACACCCGGCCTGCTCACTTGGCTGCGGAAGGGGAGAGAGTGACGGAAACTCAGGGGCATCCTGGGCAGGACGGGGCCTCCGTCAGGTACCTGAGCCCAGACTTGGAATTTGCCAGAACAAGTGGGGCATGTGTCAGGGCTGGGATGGACCCTGGCCTGTAGGATCTTGGGGATGGGGCTCTTCCTCCCATCCCTCCAGGAGCATGCCCTCCCAGCCGCCCCCTCCCCACGTGCAGCCGGTCTCAGGGCCCCTACCTCCCCCATTGCTGAGGCTGTACCTCATGGCCACTTGCTGGGAACGCCAGTCGCCATAGCTCCTGCATGGGCAAAGACAGGGCAGTCACCCTCCATGGGGACTTGGGGTGGCAGACAAGGACACTCATGCTCAGGGCTCTCCTGGCACCAGGGGGCCCACCCTGCAAGCGGCAGTGACTCACCTCCGGTCTCCCTCCAGTGTGCTCTGGATCTCCTTCAGGACCCCTGGGGAAGGGAGGCTGGTGAGGCCAGGGCGGGGCCTTTCTCTTCCTCTCACTGATGGGGCGCTGGGTGGGTCTGCCCCCCTCAGTTCCACCCTGGCCTTCCAAACTCCCCCCCAAGGAACGTCCCTCCTGTCAGCCCCCACTCCCGCCCAACTCACTCTCATCATTGAGCAGAGCATGCTCCATCACGGGGCCTGGCCTCTTCTCTGGAAGGCAGAGGCCAGGTTAGGAGAGCCCCGAGCCCAGGGCTGGAGGGGAGGCCGTTTCTACCCCCATCTTGAACACGCACACACACACACACACACACACACACACACACACACACACACACACCTGTTCCCCTGGGGTCCCCTCTCCTCCTTCCATCCTCCAATGTCTGGGCCCGGGCTGGCCCAGGTGTGCCCACACACTCCCCTGGCCTGTCTTACCCTCTCCGTCACTCTGGCTCCCCGAGTTCCTGTGGGGGGAAGAGAGAGTAAAGATCGGGGGGCACTAGGCTCTTGGCTCTGGTCCCATGAGGTCAGCTCACCTGGCCTGCCCTGAGCAGGGGGCGCCTGGGAGGGAAGCCAAGCCCCTTCCTGGTGGCAGCTCACATGGGAGGAAGGGGCATATGAAGGGGGGCAAAGAGCCAGAGCCAGGAGGGTGGGCTGAGCTCACAGGGGAGGGGGAATGTGGCAGCTCCCAGTGGGCGCATCAGGAGGGTGAGGGTGAGGGGCTGGGGCAAAGGCCACCTGCCGTTTACCCACCTGGCTCGGCCCAAGGCCTTCTCGGGGCCTGATCCATTGCGGGGACGACTGTGGTTCTTGGTTTCTGCAGAATCCACCAGACACCGGGGCTCCACCAGCCACTTGGTGGACAGAGAGAAGCGCTCAAACTCCGAGGGCGAGATCAGGTAGAAACCTGGGGGGTAGAGACTAGGTGAGGCCAGCCTGGTCTCTCAGGACCTGCGGCTGCTGACAATGGGGCTTCCAACCAGGGACATTGGGACATTGGGGCCAGAGCTCTCCTCCAAGTTCTCAAAGAACCTGGCCTTGGCCATACCCACCAGGCTGCCCTTCCCAGCAGCCCCTGCAGCACAGCGGGAGCCCCACGCCCCGCCCGCTCGCAGAGGCAGGACGAGCCACCCCCTGCACACCTTGGCCGTGTTTGGTGAAGACGCAGGAGGCGATGCCGCTGACGTCCTCCCGGCGGATGCAGCCGTAACGCACCTGGGGCTTGAGCAGGGGCAGCGAGACCACCTGGATGTCGCCCAGGTTGGTGAGGACAGCCAGGTGGTGCTCCCCGTAGTCCTCGGCGCGACAGCTGCTGAAGTGGGCCACGCTGACCCGCCGCACCCTCGAGCCCTCCAGGGCAGTCAGCTTCAGCTTCAGCTTGGCACTCACCTTGGGCAGTGTGAACGCCTGGGGCACAGGGCGGAGGTCACATCCATGGCCAGACCCCACTTACCACTTCCCTGCGTCCACCGGATGCCACCCAACTTCCCAGCGAAGCCTGCTCGGTCTCAGCACGTCCTCGGCACCAGGACAGGCGCTCACTGCACCTGGACCATGAGGTGCTGGGCCACTTCCTCCCACAGACAGGTCCTGCTTCAGTGTCCCCACCGCTGACCCGGGCCTGGGACGCCACACAGACCCCTCTCCTTTCCGGTGCCCCTGCAGCCCCTCCTGCCTATGCCAACTGCATACACAACTTTCAGAGTCCCAGCCACTGTCATCTGTGCCCGCGGCATGAGCCCCCTGGATGTCCCCAGGATCCCCGGGACCCCGTCCCCACCGTGCGGCACCTTGAACTGCTCCTCTGACACAACAAGCAGCTGGTGGCTTCCCTGCATGTCCGGGCTTTTCGACAGGTCGTGTGCGACTTCCAGGGGCTCGGGAAGGGGCACACTGTGTCCGTCCAGCACCAGGATGCCCACAACTGGTGCTCGGTGCATCAGCTGGATCTCCTTGACTACGGGAAGGAAGCAGGCAGGTGATGGGGCTGGTGGGTGGGCGAAGGGTGAGGCTGGAAGCACCGCCCTGTCCCCAGCCAAG